TACTTCCAGCAGTCCTCATGTTTCTAAAGTAGCCCCAGGAGTTCCTATAAACGAACAAAATTGATACGCAACGCGGGTCAGAATTTGGCTAGTCTGATGCTCAAGAACGGTGCACCTATCTGTTTCTATGTTGTGTTTTCTCCTTTTGTCTTTCTTACATAGAATCATGGCCCTGGGCTTGTACGTTGCCATTTCAAGTTACAGCTTGAGAAGAATTATACACCTCTCTCAGATTTGTTACATGTCCTCTCTTGAAAAACAACAAATCTGCCAACCTTTCCCTCATCCTCCCTCCCACTCACACACGCAAAATAACAAATTCCAGTCAAAGTATTCAATTTATCTGATACTCATTTCTAAAATCTACCTTCTTACTTGCCTTATATTGAGTTGCATTCAAAAGTAATTAACGATTGTTGGTTGACAATCCTTCATGTCTGATCATTTTACGGTTTTTCATTGCCTACGAACCATTGGCAAGACAAACATAATTTTTTTACTCTTTCTTTTGCTATTTGCTTGTGAGTGAAGTAAAGCACATCACAGAGGAATCTCTCTTGAAGAAAAGATTTTTAATGCAAGATGAATTGAGTTCAAACCTGTGTTGTACTCATCAACCCTTTCCCCCATCTTTTTCAAAATTATTACAATATGTCATTTTTATAATTTATTTTTTAATTTCAAATAAATACTTTCAATTGATCCATATAAAAAAAATTAAAAAAAATAAAAATTAAAATCTAATTTAATTGAAATTCTGAATGTAATTGTGTTATCATATCGTATAGATCTCAAATCTAGCTTAGCTATCTTACCCCTGAATTTTTAGTTTGTTGATATTATTTTACACATTCTGTAAATTAACCATTGAATGCATAATAAAGTCACATTTAGAGATAAAACCATCAGACCTGTATGAATCTAGGTTGCAGGTTACACTTGTCGATCCAGCTCTTTTACAGTGGCGTTCAACATTCATACCCTCTACACTTATCGATGGTATATTGAGAGGTCAGGTTGCTAACGACGACGTGTGCCATGGCGACAGCTGGGCCAGACACAAGGAAGGGGGATGGGACGTCAGTCGATTTATATCAACAGCTAAGAGCCATGATGTAACTTTATTGTTTTTTGAATTATCTTCCTCCTTTCATCCTACCCTTGATGCCATGGCGATAGTTGTCATTGAACAACTCTTTTGGGGACAGAAACATTTTGTTTTATCTCCCGTTCTGCACAGCCCTCTTAGCTATTTTCTGAGTGGAATAGCTTTATATGAGGCTATTTGGATTACAAGAAAGTGACTTGTTCTTATCTTCAAGAGAGAAAGTGAAGTTGGTTGTTATTTTATCTTATCTACACAGTTCTTGATATCAAATTAACCTCATGTAACTACTTTTAGGCTGCTTTTCTCCAGTGGCCTGGTCGGTCGATCGGCTGACCTCCTTACATGCTAAACTTTGTAGAATGTTTGATTTATTAGACTTGCATCTCTTCTACAAACTTCCCAACTCGTTTATTTTCCGAGATGCATTTTTTTTGCTTGAATATATTTGTATTGTCCCTGCTGTAGTGGGTGTTAAGATGTCTCATGTAGATTTAACCAAAACTGTTTTTCAGATAGGAACATTTTTAATTATGTTATGAAGGCATTCATTTTAATTCTATCTTTATGCTATGCTTTCTCTCAAGGTTTTCTCCCAGACTTTGTCCACAGACTTATATCTGATAAAGTATGTTTTCAAGAAATTTACTTTCTAGAACTTTGATCTTCGCTCTCTAGTTTTGTTTATTATTCCAGAATTTGTTTTTCCCAAATGTCAAGTCCTAGAAGATACATCAAGTACAAACATGGCTTTTTATTTGTTTTTAATTTAGCTTACGGCTGTTGCTAAATGTTGTAGGCTGTGTCTTTACTTTTTTTAAAATATTATTTTAAATAAAAAAATGAAAAAATTATCTCCACCACAAACCTCATCCAGTTCATTAAATACTTCAAATCACCCACTCACTAGCAAACATGGTCATCTTTTGCCAGATTTTGACAGGATATACTAATAAAGTTTGACATTTTGATTAAGTGTAGACTGTCATCTTATCCATATGAAAAGTTCCTTAAAAACAAGTTTTAAATCAATATTTAGTGTCCAGTTTACAGACTAGCATATTAGGATAAAGAGTTGCATTCAATAATTGATTGATTAGTTGTCAGTAAGCTGATTGTATTACGCCTTAATTGCCTTCCTGAAGCAATAAGATGTGTCATGTTAAAGAAAGATAAGAAAACTAAATTTTGTTCGATTTCAAGCAAACAGATATTAAAAAAATGATGAACTGGATAAAATTTGTGGGTGGTCCGTTTTAATGTTTGGAAATGCTACATTAGAATTTTGGGTTTAAAGGAAAGGAAAAAATACATCATATTGAGAGAATGCAACGTTAAAAAACAGATTCCCTTCGTTTACTAGATTATTGATTTATTAATGAGGCATGAAAAGGGCCCTAAATCTTTATTTTGAAATGCGTGTATTTTTCAAGGAATCATATTTTAATTTTTAAATCTTTAAAATATTAAGTAAACGTCATTTTCACCCCACCAGCACAGTTTCCTATGTCTATCATTCCCTTTCCTATAGGTTCCTTCTTCATGTTTGTAATGACCCCATTCCCACCAGCACAGTTTCCTATGTCTATCATTCCCTTTCCTATGGGTTCCTTCATGATGTTTGTAATGACCCCATTCCCACCAGCACAGTTTCCTATGTCTATCATTCCCTTTCCTATAGGTTCCTTCATGATGTTTGTAATAACCCCATTCCCACCAGCACAGTTTCCTATGTCTATCATTCCCTTTCCTATGGGTTCCTTCATGATGTTTGTAATGACCCCAAAGCACGATTGTTTTAGAGACGTCATAGGGCCTTGGGTAATTCATGCATATCACTTGTGCTGCACTGTGTATTCTCTTCAGGCACCGGTCGTCCTTGCAGTGGCAAAGGGGTCATGCATCAGATACTGCTTCAAGTACAAGTCCTTGTCTAGTTGACCAACAAAGCAGTTCACACTGCCCATAACAATGCATGCATATCAACCTAGTTTACTGCCACTTCCCTGTGTAGCCTGAAGGTCTTACCCTTTGCAGCTCTGCTCTGCCAAGCCTTTTGGATGCTCCAGGCACACATATCTAAAAGGTTGACAAAAGGTTGACACCTTGCTGAAAAGCAACACACATATCTGGTTTGCATTCGCGTCAAAATACCCCCCATTGATGCTGTCAATCACTCCACCTTCTATGCTATCCTCATACCACCTGATACAGCATCATACTGCTCTCTTCCGCTCAGCGCGCTGTCTTGGGGTGTGCTACCCCTCGTATCATCCATCTCGTATTCCGCAGTATATGCCTATCATATGGACATCAATATGATGAGCATTTATCGGCTCGTTGGCTGCTTCCCTTGAGGGCAGTTGTGTACACCTATGGCTCGGTGTGTTTACATTGCTAAGTTGACAATGAGGAAGAAATATAGTCGAATCCTGTCTAGGTTGGGATCTACACAACTTTAAGATCCTGTTTGTTGAAATTCTCACTGTTTCAACTAAAAGTGACAGCCAACTATATATGTTTCAATATCTTTTACAATTTGTTAAATTTGGCCCTATAGAAGAAACTAAAGCTTGAATGTGGCACTGCGTTTTGGAACAATCTTGAGGTTTGTTTCATTGGTGCACAATTTGTATCATATCCCTTATCGTAAGATTGTTGCATTGGGAGTGTACACAACAAGAAAAGTTTTACTAGAAAAGACGTTTCCTGCCAAATAGCTCATTTTTTATTACTGACTTCACAAATAGTTCAAATTTTCCTGGGAAAAAGTGAACTAGTTGTTTTCCCACCCCCCCCCCCCCCTAAACTGGCAAAATTCAGCGAGCGTACAGGATTTCAAATGCCTCCACACGGGCAACTCCAGCGGTGTCACAGCGCTCAAGCATTGCAATTTACGCCTTGCACTTTGTGCAATAACTGCATCTGAGCCATGCAATTTTCTTTTATTTCTTTTTTTGGATGTGATGTGAATGTGAGAACGGTACGTGTTATTACAGAAGTGTTCAAGGAATGATACACATGGAAGGGATATAAAACAATTATACAATGACCCATTCTCGGAACAAGCTAAAACTATTCACACTCAGGAACATCAATAGTATACTATTTGATGTTCCTTCGATGTGAATAGTTTTAGCTAGATCCTCGAGTGTCATTGTATATTTATATAATGTATGCTTGATCAATTCTTTATTCCCTTTTGTCCTGTTATTTCTATCAAGGAAATACGTCCACAAGGGAAACAGAAATATGCTAAAAATTAAAACACAGATAATAAATAATTAATACATTACATTTATAATGCGCTTCATACAATGTTTCTAAGCGCAAGAGGAAGAAAGGATATAAGGAAGGAAAAGTGATGGTAGAATAAATATTTGAACAAGCTTTATTTCCAACTTGTCTCCAAATATGAAGCAAATAAAGCTGAGAGAGAGAGAGAGAGACATGCAGAGAGAGAGAGAGAGAGAGAGAGAGAGAGAGAGAGAGAGAGAGAAGCACATACACGTAAGAGTTTCATAAAAGAATGGCTGAGGCAGATATTAAAGAGATTGAAAATAAATAGGACATGTAATTACTTCAAATGACAAAACTTAACTCATTCTGTTTCATTCATGATTTCAATCTTAATGTATTCATGTTGACATCTACCATTTCATGAATAAATCATACATTATTTCATTCTTAAACAAATTTCAATACATGTGTAACAAATAAAATTTAATGTTAATGTGTTTTTGCCATCTCTTTATATCTGACTCATTTAGTTAATCTGTTTTAGTATCAACATTTTTTTAGTGAAGTATCCAACCATCCATCATATGCAGTGAAGTTGATTACCAGTTTGATTATTAATATTTTTTCTTTTCTTTCTTCTATTTTATCTTTGCAGGTAAGATGTTTACATATTTTGAATGTAATGGCAAGGCCTGGTAAGTTTACTTATAATCACAAAGCGCAGCAATCAATAGGATATGTGATGTAGTTCTAACAATTGGTAAGATAGTAAGATTAACAAAAGATATATGTGTAAAATTGAAATAGATACATTTATATTGTAGCTATGTCAGGCTGGAATATTTTACACAAGATATGCAGTCAAGTTTTTGATAGTAAACACAATTTCTTTTAATGAAGACTTATTGTTCCGTAGTAGATAAATAGCTTAGTAATTTTAGAAAGTGTGAGAGAGATAGGGAGAGACTGACAGACAGAGAAAGGGGAGAGGGGGAAGGAAGGGAGAGAGAGAGAGAAGGGGATGATCTAGAGGGAGGAGAGACGTCCTATAGTTTTTGAGAGAGGAGGAAGGAAGAGAGAAAAGCATGGGTCTGCCAATAGTTTGAAATCATCTTCAAAAGGCATTGATTCATGAAGGCACTCCCCATCGGAATCCTATTGAGGAGTAAATATATGTGAACATGACCCAGATATAAGATGAGTATTTAGTACGAGAGTCTCGATCAAGTACACCAACCCATCAGCCTTCAGGCGGAATGCGCACCAATTGAGGTTAAATATGTATTTAGCGTTTTTCAGCTTCATGCGGTCAACCATATTTCCATTGCCAAAAACACTGGAAGAAGTACAGAGGCCAGAGAAGGCAGTGATAAAAGGACAAGGGCGTTGAGTTTTAAACAAAATCAGAGGTAGAAGAAAGGAAATTATATAAAAGAACAAGAGTTTAACCAAAACTGAAAATGGATTTTGGAGAACATAGATATAAGCAGGACGAGAGATGCAAAAGAAGGAGGGGCATATATTTAGTTGTTGTTGGTGAAGTATATTCCATGTTGCTATGCTTTTAGCCAATCCCAGCCCTTCTCAGCCCGCCCTTCTCTTAAGCAGGTGAAAGGGTAAGCCTTGCCTGGTTGTGACTGAGTTGATACAAGCACTTAGAGCTTCAATTCTCTCCCTACGCCTTCCGGTGATCGATTGTCTATCCTCCGGAGACCTTAAGAATCCATCGAGGCTGCCTGACTCACTCTGCTCTGCTCTGTAGCTAAGGCTGATGTCCTCTAGAGTAGGCCATAGGATAGGGGGTATGGACATACAGGAGATACATGTCCTTAACATGCAGGAAAACATCACTGATGTGTGGCAGTCCCAAATGTATCAAAGATTCCTTTTGAATCTAGATGGAAAGGAATTCATATATTTTTGAAAAGTTGCATATTTTCTGTTCTGTGCTTGTATAACGCAGCGTGATATTTGTCCTTAAAAATAAGTTTTGAATATATTTCTTTAGTTGGAAGGATAGGAGAGAAACCAGGGATGACAAGTATGTAAGGATTATGCATGTCATGTGAGCTTTGTTTGACATTATTCAGACCCAACAACCAAACTCTCTCTCTCTCTCTCTCTCTCATACATTATTCAATGGTTCTACATCACACTACTCTACATGTCTGGGGTTGGGTGTGTAACCAACATGGACAAAAATCAGTTTAGATGTCAGGTATGCTTTCAAGACTCTTTTATCAAGTCTGGAGAGATCTGGGACTCTTCTCACTAACCCTCAGTAATGTTGTGTATGCATTGTCAGCTTTACCTATCTCCTTTTATCTCCTTGGATCTCATTGTCAACTAGACTAGATTCCAAGAAACATAGAAACAGTTTGTATTGGCAACAGCTATATTGTGTAGAGAATATTAGAATCCTGCTTCTTTACAATCTACCTTAGATTACAATATTACAAGTGTATTAACCCAATGGCAACTGAAGTCTCTAATTCATATAGGCTTGATACAGGGACTATGTGTCACATATTTGTAGAACCTATTATAACACATCCAAATTAATAACAACAATAATTCATTAAATCATCTTTGAAATAATTGTTTACATGTTTATTTGAATGCCATTTAATTGCATACTAACATAATGTCTGATGTGATTCAGCTGATTAGAAATGCAGTTAATGGAAAATGAAAGCCTTTTCTGTGGGTTAGATTCATCTACCAAAATTGACATTTTTAGCTTTTGAACTTACAAGTTGTTGCTTTTCAGAATATTTCATTGTAAACAAGGTTTCTTAAGAAATTTTATGTCTAACTATATACTTACCGTATGTGCCGGCGTAAAGGCCGCACCCCCGCATAGGCCGCACCCCCGATTTTGACATTTAAAAAAAAAAAAAAAAAAAAAAAAAAAAAAAAAAAAAAAAAAAAAAAAAAAAAAAAAAAAAAATCGTTTTTTTTTTTGTTTTTTTTGTTTTGTTGTTGTTTTGCTGCCGAAAACCCACGCGTGGAAGGACCTTCATTTAACATCGAGGTGCAGTTAAAGGCGCTGATTTGTGCTTGTAAACTTGTCACAAATAATAGTAACAATGTCGTTTTTAGAAGAATGTGTAAGATCATTAATGTGAATTAAAAACAATAAAGTACCTATGGTACCAGTGGTGTACCTTGTGGTACACCATTTGTTATAGAAAAAATTTGAGGAACTATTATTATAAACTACATATTGAGATCTATTAGAAAGATTACTTTCAAACCAAGATGACAGTCAAATTTTAGTGTTGTTGTAGTTTCCGAGTGGTGAGTCAACACACTGATTACTGAGCTGGGAGACATTGCCAGGCATAGCGCCATAAATCGAAACTAAAAAAAAAAAAAAAAAAAAAAAAAAAATTACTCTTTCGCCGCATAGGCCGCACCCCGACTTTTTGATATTTTCTCTTCCAAAAATACTGCGGCCTATACGCCGGCAAATACGGTAGTCGATCAATTATTGATAAGGTTGTAAGCCCATCTGTCTCTTGTGTTTGCAAGCAGGCCTCTTGAATATTTTATTTTCTGATGAAGTCATTTCGTCCTATATCGTCACTGCATGGAGATGATACTCTGATACTTAGAGTAGTTGTATCAGTTCAGTTAAGACTTGCGGGTATGCAGCCTTCACGGTCACCAGGGATCGACGACTGTCTTGGCATTCCTAGTAAACTCATAAAATATAAACTTTGGAACGTTCAAGTTCATGTTATAGGGAGCACAGATTCTGGCATGAATACTATATGACTGTTGGGAGATGTTAGAGTATCTCATATATCAGTGATTGTCATTGAACCCAACCGTTTCTTCTGTATGTGTTCATGATTTGTCAATGTATTCATGAATAAATTCAGAAAGAAAACACTTTATTTTCCAAGGCTACAGATGGCCGTCTCACACTCTGACCTCATCTACCTGTGACACACTTCTCTCTTTCTTGTCCATTTTTCTTTCTCTTTTGTCTTCTCCTTTTCCAAATTTGAAATATTTTCATACGTCACTCTTAAACATTTGTGTCTAATGTGTTTAGCAAATTTTGTTTGAGCCATCCTAGTACTAGCAGATCTAAAGGTGTTTGTTATTATTAATTACTTCCTTCAGATAATGATTGTAACTTTCATTAATTATTTGTAATTTTGTAACGTTCAATCAATCAAAAGATATTTGATGAAGCGCCTTTTCCTTGCGGTTACAAAGTGCTGCACACACCGCTCCACAATGTTTGGGCCAGTTATAAGTTGGTCACTTCTCAGACTTAACACAATTTCTTTTATATGAAAAATACATTTTGGATGCAGGATATAATATGTTCTATTTTTAAGATGCAACTATCTGAATCAAGTGATATTTTATTTCCTGTAAACAGCATTTCAATGGAGGTAAAGGTATATTTATAGAGCCATATGACTGACTATTGAATACGGAAGACAGCATATTGCTTTGAGAGAAAATAACTCTTACATTGTTTGAATGCATAAATAATCCGTTTCCCGCCTACCATTCTCTGTCTACCATTCTCCTTCCATATCCTCCTTGATGCAGCTGCTTTGACGTCATTCATTTTAGGGCAATGATTTGTTGAAGATCAGTAATGATAAAATACCAGCTTTGAATACTATATTATCTCTCATTTGAAATCATAACAAGCAGAAAAGGTTGCAAATGAAAGGCTTTTTTTCCAATGTTGTTTTGTTGCATTACGTAGGCCTTCGAAGGCCATATATTTATCAAAAATTGCTCTTCATTGCTCTTTTTTGACAGGATGAATGGGAGTGGTCGCTATGAGCTGAATTAGACTGGGGTAGGATGATTAATGCCAAATAGGATTTATTTTTGTGAGATTGGCATTTTGAAAGATTCTTCCTGTAGTATATATTGTGCACTAACTCCTTTTTTTGTGCACTAACTCCTCTGTATAAACAAGAAAGAAAAAGAATGAAACGCCGATAATACCAAACAACAACAACAGTGCATGAATGCATGCAAAAAAAAAGATTCACATTCTAACTTGTTCTATTTTAGTACTAACAAAGAAGCTCACTTTAATATTTGCTTACAAATACTTGAATGGATTGGAATTTCGGTTACGATGTGTCTCAATTTAGTGTTTTTGAGTGGTCTAGGCACCGTGCGCTACAAAATTAAAAGATCACACCGCAAGTACGCCAAGTAGCCGAGGAGCCTGTTTCAGCTCAAGCAAAGCTAGATTACTATGCAATCAAAACCAGGCTTACCAGATTTATAAACGTATTCAAAAAGCAGAAATACAAAGTTGTAAACCATCTAGAGACTCCTAATAAATTGCGATACTGGTTAATTAATTAGATAATTACAAATTACATTCTCCTCCCTTTTGAAAGACTATGTGCGTACCTTATGCCATGAAAGATAATAATTACAAAAAAAGTTCCCAGTTTTTCTTATATAACTAAAGATATGGTTTATATATTCAGTACTAAATGGACGGCATAAAACTACTACCAACAAAACAACAGTGCATGAATGCTAGCGGCAGGATCATGATTTGTTTGTTGTAGGCTTATCCTATGGGAATTTAACTCAATGATATAAAAGCTTGCAAATGTATCTGTTGGGATAGAACATTGCTACTCACATATTATCTTTTTTTGTGATCTATATAATCATAGAAACAGTACACCATAGATAAAACAAAGAGTTTCATTGTTAATGAAGTTTGTTAATGAAATTTGTACAATATCTGGAGCAGGTAACTGTATTAAATCCAGTCCAGTTCCATAAAACATTTCAGTTTCTAAGAAAGATTGTTCGTATTCAAACCAAGGTCAATGAGATACAAAACTTTATCTTGGTTATACTATAATGTGGGTACACCCCATTGGCAGATTTAGGAGGGCACTATATAATGCCCCATCGTTCCCCTCCCTTTTGAAAGACTATGTGCGTACCTTATGCCATGAAAGAAAAATGTGTGCCCATTTGTGTATTATTGTGGCCCACTTAGATTTGTGACCCATAGGCCCATTAAGAGATGTGATCACCCTCTTTGGGGGCTTATCATAGCATATTGTAGCGACAGAAATCCTGTTTTCGGTTCTGTCTTGCCTAATTGTCAGAAACTTTTTAGACTGTTCTGACCCATTCCCCCCTCCTGTTATAATCAAGACCATGTATGCAGTAGGCTGGCTAGCAGTGGGAATTGGCTCTACAATCATGGAGGTTCTTAGGTTGCTCTTACTTTACAATTCATGAAGAGAAATTATTCCCACCCCTAAAGGATCGGAATAATTTCAATTTGTTAGGAATTACCTAGAGAGCTAGGCTAACGAATATTGAGTCACTTTCTTTTTAGGCCAGCTGTATAACTTACGGAAGACAAATTTATGGAGAA